CAAAACAGATCTGGATCTCAATACGCTGAGAATGAATCTTCATGTCACGTCCAACCCTACACGTATTTTTCAGATTAAACATGCTGATGTCGTTAAGTCTAAGGAAATCAATAAATTTCAATCACCGAATCTTGCTGCCATGTTACCTCAAAGGCTCAAGCACCTCTTACTCTCCAGGCTTAAAGCTGACATAAAGCAAACCAGATCAAAAGATACAAATCTTGAACTTCACTGTATCACAGTTTCTCTTCGTCGCCGCCACCAATGGCCCCTTCTCGTATCTCCTCCTCCGAAAAGCCCACCGCCAGCATTGTGATCGCCACACCAGAAGCCTTTCTCACGCGCCTATCCAGCCACGTCCAGCACGCGTGGGCAGATCGCCGCCCCTGGACCGAACTCATCGATCGGACCGCCATAACCAAGCCATAATCACTGGCCAAGCCGCCTCCTGGATTCGGAAGAACTTGCGCTGCTTCCGCATCAACTAACTCCTCATTCTGGCCTTGGTACTCGCGGCTTCCCTCCTCTCTCTCTCACCCTCTTTCCCTTCTGCTCTTAATCGCCCTGATCGGAGCCTGGCTATTCCTCTACATCCTCCGGCCGCCGGATTAGCAGCTCGTGATTTTTGGCCACCCGTTCACCGATTGCGAGGCTCTGATGGGCCTGAGCCTGGTTACCGTTGTCGTGATTTTGGTGACGAGCGTGTCGTCGCTGCTCGTCTCGGCTTTCGCGTTCGGGGTCGCACCAGCGTGCGCTCACGGGGCTTTTCGCGCCCCCGAGGATCTGTTTGTTGATGAACAAGACAAGTGGCCTTCTGGGCTTTTTTCATTTCTTCGTAACAATGGGCCTGCATCTTCTCCAGGCATCCCCGTGGGCCCAGCTGCGGTTTGATTAATGTATTTTTCTGAATCTTGTTATGGGGGCTTCTGGGAGTGAGTTCCATTCTTTCTATTTTTAGTCCAGAATTTATAGTCAGCTCTTGGAAGCAAGACTTCCTGGAGCCACATACATTATTCTTCTGTAACTTTGTTCAATTCTCATTCCAATTTTTTTATTGCTTATACAAATTTTTTTATTAAAGACAATTCTATTCAAGAGACAGTATCAGATACTCATTATGGACACTTCTCCTAATAAAAATTCAAACCTTAGCTTATCATGTTATGAGGAGCTTATTCTGATATTAAATATAAGACAAGTTTTGAAGTATTTTATAGTTCTTAATATAATATAAGATCATAGTAATTAATTTTTCTTTCAAATTTACCCCACATTTATTTATCATGATTTGAATTCTCAAACAAAATTTATTATGATTATTAATTATAAAAAAACCAAAAATTATATATATTCTTTAACAATATTAAGACTACAAATATAATTACTACTAAGATGCTTAATAAAATGGTTAAGAAAAATGAATAAGCTTACCTTAAAATTTCAATTTCAAATCCTTGTATGTTAAATAAATTCACAGGTGATGCCATGTCATTGAAAGCAAATTAACGAGAACAGATTAAAATTTAAATCCTTTAAAATTTGGAATGTTAAATTTATATGAAGTTTTTTTTAAGAAAAATATTTTCATCAATGTTATTATATTTTATAAAATATAAAATATTCTATCTTTTAAAAAAAATTCATAAAAATTCATCAATCCCAATTTTATATGATTTCAATGCAACGGATTATGGCTGAACCCACACCTCTGGGAACGACAATACTAAATTGCTCGCATAAAGATACCAACCATGATACCTCCGGTGTATATAGAATCATGAACAAAATATTTCATTCATCTTAAATTATAAAATATTTTTAGATAAAATTTTATATACCAATAAATTCTATTAAATACTCCTAACAAACTTATCTTTTTAAAATAAAAATATAAACTTTTAAAAATATTTATTATTTAATATATTAAAAAGAGAAGAAATAAAAATTAATTATAGAAAGAGGAAGAGTAATATTAAAATTAATGTATTTAATGATACATTAATTTACCTGTTTGCACCCAAATTGTGAACATGAGGCCCTGGCCCAACTCAACTTAATTGGTTTTAAAATAATTATATCAAAAAAAGAATACTTATGAAGTTTTAGCTATTAAGTCAAAACCACCACCCATAATGAGTGAATATGATGGAGGAAATGCTTCTTAAATTTAAGGAAAGTGGCAATCATGGGGCTTGGATACCAAGTCAGGATCATCTATAAATAGAGGAGCTCTCTCTCAACAATCATCATCAGCATCAACAAACTATCAGTCTCAGACTCTACGTCTGCTACTTTATTTTTTTTATCATGTAGTTTTAGTCTTTATTTTTCGTTATACAGCTAGCATAGCCCACCACCCTTTTTCTTTAATTAATGCATCTCTACTTTTCTGCATCTACATTAATACTCTTCACTTCACATTATTACATCTGGCTGAACTGTGATAAGGGAGCCTGGGGTTCCCTGCATTTGATTAAAAATCAAGTTCTTTCATTCTTTTAAGACCCCACATCTCTAGCACACCTCGCGACACCACGCCTTAATTGTTTGTTTTTTATGAATAATTTTTGACACGCCTAGTGGGACTCGTGCTTAGGACACACAAGAATCAATATGTTGTTGGAAAAAATAGATCTGAGCCTTACGACTCAGAGAATGTTGCTGCACACGCAAAACGTGAAGTACGAGCTAACGAGAGGCAAAGAGCTCTGCTGCCAACTTTGAAGGAGGGGCTAAGGAATATCTCTACTATGTTGTCTAAATCATCGCAGGAGCAAGCTCCGATCGGCTCACACCTTCATAGAACAAATGGACTCGGGGGCCAATCTCCCAAAGTGTCCTTTGACCAAAAGATCAATAATAAGGATCACCATAACATCTCTCAAAAAATAAATAGCAGGTCTAATTTAATAGCAGGCCCGTTCGGCTACAAGGGCCAAAGCCATTAGGGCTTGGGGCCAATACCAGAGGGGCCGGAGCCACAAGAGTCAAAATCATTAAGGCCGGCACTATCGGGCCTAAGCCATTGAGGCCAGCACCAGAGAGGCTGAAGTCATTAGGGCTGGAGCCATTGAGGCTAGCACTAAAGGGGTCAAAGCCACAAGAGCCCAAGTCATTAGGACCAACACCATCAGGGCCGAAGCTATTAGGGCCAGCACCAAAAAGGTTGAAGCCATTGGGGCCAGTATCAGAGGGGCCGAAGCCATAAAGGCCGAAGTCATTGGGGCCAATACCAGAGGACCCGGAGCCACAAGAGCTGAAGTCATCGGGGCCAACACCATCAGGGCCAGCACCAGAGGGGCCGGAGCCATAAGGGTTGAAGTCATTGGAGCTAACACCATCAGGGTCGAAGCCATTGGGGCCAGCATTAGAGGGACCGGAGTCACAAGGGTTGAAGTCATAGGGACAACAACCAAAGGGCTAGCATCATAGGGGCCATAACCACAGGGGCCGAGCCATAAGTACCGACACCACAGGGGCTAAAATCAGAAAGGCAAGTTTTGTAAAGGCCCTTTTCACGAGAGCTCTCTCTTAGAAAGCTCTTTCCACAGGGGTCTCGCAACAAGTAGATTTTACAGAATCAGTCCTTAAAGTTCAAAAACTCGAAAGGCTAATTCCAAAATCAGCTTTTGAGGTCCTAAACCTTGAGAAACTTGATCCTAAGCTGGACTACATGGTCCTTAATCCTCAATCACAAGAGTGTCCTTTAAGAAAAGTACTAGATCAATCATTAATTAGAATGAGAATGAGCTAGTCCTTCAAGATATATCCATGCAAAATTGGCCTATAAAGACTCTAGCCAATTTGTATGCCGGGGACATTATTTGCACTCAATTTGTGAACATGGAGGCCCTGGCCCAACTCAACTTAACTGGCTTTAAAATAATTATATAAAAAAAGAATACTTATAAAGTCTTAGCTATTAAGTCAAGACCATCACCTATAATGAATGAACATAATGGAGGAAGTGCTTCATAAATTCAAGGAAAGTGGCAATCATGAGGCTTGGGCATCAAGCCAGGATCATTTATAAATAAAGGAGCTCTCTCTCAACAATCATCATTAGAATCAACAAACTACCAGTCTCAAACTCTGCGTCTGTTACTTTATTTTTCTTTTTATCATGTAATTTTAGTCTTTATTTTTGTTGTACGACCGGTATAACCTATCACCATTTTTCTTTAATTAATGCATCTCTACTTTTCTATATTTACATTAGTATTATTCACTTCACATTATCACATCTAGGTGAAATGTGATCAGGAAGCTCAGGGTTTTTGCGTTTGATTAGAAGTCAGGTTCTTCAATTTTTTTGAGACCCCACATCTCTGGCACACATTACGACACCACGCCTTAATTGTTTATTTTTTACTAACACTATTTGAAGTATTTTATATTTTAAAATAATTTTTTTAAAAAATATTTTATAATTTGAGAGGAAGGGGTACCGTAATCTGTTGCTCGGATTTCGCCTTACATTAAAGATTAGAAAACACACTAACAAAAGCCCAAATTTTCAGCATTCGTGACGGTATTACTCATCCATTGCCTTGACTTGTTTCCCTTCCCGATCCATTCAATATTTGGAGAGTAAATAGTCTCCTATAGAAGACGAACTGTACCGTTTCTTTCCCATCATAATGATGACTGACTTTCCAATTTCTGATTCAATGATTTCGTTATAGATAGTTTGCTCCCTTTTTACGATCATAAACTCAAAAAACAATAGACAACGACTAGCCCCTTTCCGAGAAATTTACTTCGGTTACAAAATCTAAAACAAGAACAAGATTGCCACAGTGGGCTCTAGATTTCACCTTGCAATTATAAGCGGAATGTTAAAAGCCAAGTTAACCGGTTTCTGTGGCGATATTATTCATGCATGTCCTTGCTTGACTTTCTTCAAATCTCGGTCAACCCTGCTATTTATTGTTTATAATATTACAACCCATATTATAATATCTCAAATTCCAAAATCTCTCTAGCTCAGTAGGAGCACGATGGCTTCGGCTTCAATTCGAAATTTCCTAATGCAGCCTAAGCTATGGAGGCTTGTGGGTTCCGTGTCGGGTCTTGTTGGGCTGCTCTGTTTTCCTCTGAGTTCGTCTTTCGAACTCTTACTCGGACATCGGAATTTTCATACGATGTCTCTCTATGCTGCGATCAGTGCCATCATCTTGGGCTTCATGCTGTGGGCATACAAGTGGCAACTTCCCAGGAATCTCTTGTTCAAAGCCCATGTGGGTTTCTTAGTTCTGATGTTAACCTCTTTGTTCTCCTTTTTCTCCAATGGAAAACTTGACTCAGACCCATTAAGCTTGATTTCTTGTGTTTCCTTTGCTGTGGCGTCTCTGAGCTTGTCCATACAGATTGACCTTGGCTTTGAAACTGAATTGTTCAACTTTATTCTGGGTTTAGTCATATTTTTACTCATGACGAGGAACCTGTTGCTCGCTTTTATCGGAATGCCCATCTGTTATGTGCTCGTGCTTCTTCATTCTTATATGGATTCCCAGCGTCAATCCCTACTGCATTCTGAGAATGTTAGCATCAATGATCATGTGGCCCTTGGAATCGATGTGGACGAAGCTGGAGCTGGAGCTGACAATAACAGTGAGAATTGCTATTACACCATTGAGGAGAGACTTCAATTTCCGGCTAACATTGAAGATAAACTGAAGGACAAAGTGGCTGCTGGCTTTGCGAATGAGTGCTGTCACGTCTTCATTGGTTGGCGAAGACAGTTATTGAACGACAAGCTTTCGAGAATTCGGATACAGAAGCTGAACCTGGACGAGATCGACAAGGTGCCGTTGAATTTCCTCGAGGACAAGATCAAACGTTGGAACACGATTTCCTACTACGTTCTAAGGACACTACTCCCGGACGAACGGAATCTCTGCAAGCGATTATTCTCCGAATTCCCATATTGTGAGGTTTTCTGTTTCAATGAATTATGTCAAGAACCCATGATTCAATTACTCAACTTCGCGGATGCCATCGCCGCCGGGAAGGGATCGCCAGAGCGATTGTTCAGAATACTCGGCATGTTTGAGATACTGAACCAGTTATTACCGGACTTTGATTCTTTATTCTCCGATCAGTGCTGTGTCTTTCTCAAGGATAGGGCCGTCAAAATCTGGAGAAGGTTCGGGAAGGAAATCAAAGGAGTTTTCGTGGACTTGGAGAATCTTATTTTTCAGGAACAAGAAAAGGTGGTTCCTTCCCATGGTGGGCTTCATCCCTTGACCCACTATATAATGAACTACCTTAGTCTCGCATGTAAATCATGGCGAACCGTTGAACGTGCTTTTAGAGACAGCGAGAATCCTTTGAGAAGTCACTTGGAAATCGGAAACGAAGAGTCGTCGCCTTCTCCATTTTCCCTCCAGGTGAGTCTAATCATGGATTTGTTAGACAAAAGTTTAAAGAAAATATCGGAAAAGTACGAGGACCCTGTTTTACGCTCTCTTTTCATGATAAACAATGTGAGGTACATTGTTCAGAAAGCAAAACGTAGTGAAGTAGGGAGGCTAGCGGGCGAAGATTGGATCAAAGATCGTGTTTCTAGGGTTGGTGATTATATTGTACAGTTCAAGGAGTCATGGGGTGGTAATGTGGTTGAGATGTTCAGAACAGGGTCCGTGAGACCTGAAGCAGAGAAATTGAAGCTGTTTAGTATTCAACTTGAGAGGATATGTGAGGAGCAATCGAAATGGGTTGTGTTCGATGAGCACCTGGGAGAGAGGATCAGAAGTTCCTTGAGGAAAAAATTGCTACCAAAATATGAACATTTCTTGGCTAGATTCGACAATGTTGTTGATAGAGAAAGTGAGGGTGGTCTAATGATGCAGGAAGATATTGTGGCTGGAATCAACAAGCTGTTCAAGGGAAAAGATGAGCTCAAAAACTTGAGGTAATGTAAAGTGCAGGAGCCTTTCAAGGATCTATTTTCGTAGTTCATTCTGGTTGATTTAATCATAATGTACAGGCTGTGAATATAGAATAAGAAAATTTGTCGCAGGAATATTCAACCAGCATGGACCACAGTGAAACCGACAAAGGATGATTCTTACGAATGGACAAAGCGTGGCCAGGAGGCAGCTCTTAATTCTAGACATACCAGGTATTTAACCTCTTCAACCGGTCATGAATCATGATCACTTTATTTAACCCCTTGCAAATGCCGGGGATCAAATTACAAGGAGGGCTTATGCAATGACAGATATCACTACTGGTGCGTGAACAAGTTTACAAGAGGCTGTCAAGCAATTAAAGAGGAGGTACAACAAAAAGGGGAGAAACCAGCAATGCATGAGACTAGATACGTTGGCTTCCACACGTGCAGAATGAATCGCAGCAATGATGAGTCCGACCTTTGAAACGGCAACAATGATAATAATAATGACAATGTTCCCAAGAGAACGGGGATACAGTGCAAAAGCTATCATATAATAGTCTTGCAGGCAAAAGATTTTAAAGTCAACAAAATCGGCGTTGTTAATGTAATGCTGGATACGTTTTTGGAGTGAAGTAGCGCGGCACGTTCAGTATAATTACACGCTTCTATGGGCGAGATAAGATCAGACAGTGCAATTTTTATTAGTTTATGTAAACAAGCTAAACTATCAACCATCCAATTTACAGTAATTTAAAAATTACCATCTGAGATGAGTGAAGAGATAATTTCCAAATCACCATAATCCACCCCATTTCGTCAATTCTATTTAACATATAAAATACTCCGAATATCCTTGTTTACCTCACCACCAACCTATAATATAAGAAAGTTATTGGCGCGGAAGAGCCCATGAACCATAGAATTCAATCCTCTCTCAAAACTCAACTTCAGCTGTCCACTAATCCTGGGCTAATGTTATAGAATAAGTGCAAGGGTAAGGATATGGTGTTGATCAAATAGATTGCTCTACAAACTCAACCATATCGGGGCCACAACGTCATGTGAGTTTTGGGCTAGTGGAGTTGAACATGTCTAATTTACAGCATCAAGTTAAAAAAAAAAAAAAAGTACTACGAGATGCAAGTGGAATAAACACAAGCCTAGGAGCGTAAATATGTGCTTCCTTAGTTTATTGCCATGATTGTGAACCTATTTTGTGACGGTGCACATGAATATGGGGAGGAAAAGAAATTAAATGAAAAGAAATGAAAAGAAAGAAATGCAGAGAAGATTAGAATTCACAGCCACTTTGATCAAGTGCTATCATTCACATATCTACTGGTATCCTCGGCAACTTTTGTCCAGACATCTGCAATTTTCTCAGCATATCCAACCTGATTCACAAAGAAGCACAATTAAGAGGGGGGAAGACATAAATGAAGGGAGCGAAAGATAAAGTTTGACCTAAGAAGCAGAAATTGCAACTTGAAGAAACCAGTTGTAATCCCAACATTGACTATAATACCTAGTTCTCCCACTGTCAAAAGGGCTCGTTATTTAGGTGTAAGTTGCTACATCATCATCTAATAATTTACACTCCAGCTGATACTCTGAATGATTATGGAGACTGCTAAAGAAAGTCTTACTTCTAAATATACACACATATGTATATAAAGGCTTCAGTTCCCGCGCAACCCCAAATAATAAAATATGACAGATTAATCACCAGGCATACCCATACCTGACTAACTACGAAACCTTTCAACATGTTTAAAAAGTCAGCTTTCCTCTCTCTGTCAAGTCTTTCAAGCTCAGTCCTATTGTTTTCCTGCATTAACATCGTCATCAAGCATTCTCTATCATTGATTAAGTAATATACATAAATACACACACACACACACACATGAATTTTTCAGTAAAGGATAAATGAGCAGAGATCTGAGGATGAATTGAGACATTGATTAAATCAATACAAGCAAAATATAGAGTGATATCCACTCTCTCTTTATAAAGCTATCTTCTTTTCATCCCAAAAACCAAGAGAAACTGGTAGATGACACCATTGATAACTAAAAGAGAGAATCACATCCAAAAACCTGGCAAGAAATTTATTTGCAAATAAGGATAAATACAGAATGGATTGTTATTAAAATGAGAACATAGATTGATTTTTCTCAAATGGGACTTATTATTAACCCTCGTCTACAAATAAGTTTCTTGCCAGATCCTTGAATGTGATTCTCCCTAACAAAAATAAGCTTTCAGTATATACTTCTGAGATGAGCCCCCAAGGCATAAATTAAACTAGCTTAGTTAAATTATCAATATGTGAAACAAAGAGACATATCCTATGTTGCAGAAATAAATTGGTTTCACGAAGTAAAAAAGAAAGGAAATGAAACAGAAGAAAATAAGAGTACTAGAGAGGGTAGCAGAAGTTAGATATATTTTTTTTTTTGGGGGGTCAAACTGAAATGCATTCATAAAATGAAAATTACAAGAAAGAAAAAACAAGAGAACAAATCAATCATCATTCACCTCCTCCTGTCAAGAAAGGTGGGGAATGATCAAACATAGAATATGTTCTCTCAGGTTCATGAGCTTTCCTAGCTAGAGTATTAGCATTACTAATTACATCACGATCTGATTATGTCTTCCACCCAATATTCATCTTGAAGCATCAGATTTCAGAAATAACCCTTATAACATGCTAAAATCCATATGACTAACACATAAGATGCCGTCAGCAAGGCCCAATTAGAATAAAGGGAGCAAAGCATAAAAGAAGTAAAAAATAAGTAACGGAAAAATAATGAATAGAGTTAGGGCATCAATTGAATTTGACATTAGCAGGATAGAATTCATATTAAATGAGAAGTTCATAATGTTTCACGTAAGTAGCTCTCAGATGAACTATCATTTAAGAATGAAAATTATGGCAAACAAAAAGAGATATTTTTGACAAAACGAAGTTGAAAAAACTATTGAGAACAAATTGGTGGGGGCTGGGGGGAAGCTGATGCCTCAAAAGGAGACAGCAGTTTAAACAAGAATGAAGATAGCCAACCCTAAAAAGTTATCCAGCAACAGTGTGTTAACATCATACAAGGATACAAGAAATCTAATCAAGTAAAGATGTTAAAAGAGGAAATTGCTGTAGCCTCCATCAAAGAAGAGATTATAGAAATGAGCATGCACAGCAATCTTATGAATGATGCATTAAATCCCAGCCAACCCAGTTTGGCATTTACAAATTTAATTAGCCAGCCACTTGTTATGAACCCAGACAGATTTCCCTGTTACTTTTTTTCGCCTAAATACCTGGGACTGAATTCTCAACAAACCACCAAATTTACAGATTTGCAAGCAAAGATGGTTAAAAATAACCAAATTGAAGATATTTGTCAAGTTTTCAATACAACAGCTCAAATGCACTTGTATGAGGACCAAGAAATTGCACAAAACATAAATGTGATTGATTGCAAAACAGAGAAACTATGATTAAGGGAGTTCTTTGAACTTGAACGAGCGGACTCTTACACAACCAAACTTGATACCATTTTGGATTACATACTACCCAATATCCAAAATTTCTGGATAATGAAACCAATAACATCATAAAACACTTAAAACCTGCCTTGATCCGCTCATATTCTCTAGTTGCAACATGTTTGGCATCCTCAGTGACTCTTATGGTTTCTTTTAGCTCCTCTAATTTGTTGATCCTTGATTTGTCACCTCCAAAAATTTTTGACGATGCTGCTTCAAGTTTTTCAGCCCTTGACTGCAACGAAGATAGTTCTGATATAAGAGTCTGCACCGTCAATAATGCACTTGAGCGATCTGAGAATGCACTGTGGACAGCCAGCATTAACCCAAGATATTCATGAAGCGTGTCCTGCCAGGCATAAATTAGAAAATCATCATCATATAGAGTGTGTTATCCCAAGATAAAGACATTGTTCTTGGAAAAAAAAATGCCAATCAATGCTTGCTGCCATCAAATATCATATATAATTTGAACGCTGTTACAAGATCCTGCAGTTATTTCGTGGGCCACTGACTTTTTGTGGCATATTAAAAGGAATTCACGAAGTTAAGTGAATACAAACATACAACTTAATGGGAAATGTGAAGTATGAAATTTAGATAAAAATATGTCGTATTATACCAAATGCTTCACTGTTTGAGCATTCAATTCTCGATGGAATCTGCTAGCCTTGACAGCACCCGTAGCCAAACTTTTCATGTCAGCAGCTCTTACTCTCTGACTGTCCAAGACAGACTCTTCATTCTCAAACTTCGTCAATTTAATGAATGCCAGCCCTAATTCTCCCATTGTTTCTCCCATATCTTGCTGAGATTTGACAAGTGCTTCTGCCTGCAAGAAATTTGATGCACAAGAAAAAATTAACGACAACAAATAATCATGCAATGGTATAACAACTGTAAGAAACAAGTTATTAGACAGATAGGCAGAGAGGGAGAAATAAACATGGGTTAGTGAGATTTTTTTCCCCCAACCGTTAGTGAGTTGATAACGTAACTCCTCCAGAAAATAATACCTGTCGAGATGCATTGGTGATTTGCAGCTCAAGCTCTTGGATCTTTTCTTTCTTTTCCAAGAATTCCTTGTCCTCCTCCACCACCGGTGGCTTTGAACTTCCCCAATCATTCACCATGGACTGTTTGAACTCCTTAAACAACCTCATAAAATCTCTTCCCCCTTTCGCTGGCTGCACAACTTCACTGGGTGCAATCACACTTTCGCCCAACAACTGCTTCGGAAGCTTCGCTGCACCATCAAGCACCTTTGACGTTACATCCGTTGTCGTGGGTAGCGGAAGCTTCCCCTGAACCTGCAAGAACACCTTGAATTCATCGCTTTTCTTTATCACAGGGTGTTCTGCCAGTCTGCGCAAGTACTTCTCCAATGCCACCCTCCTTTGCTCCACAAATTCTTGTTTTTGCATCACCTGGCTCTCCATTATACTCTTGTCTGGCCTTGGTGGTATAAAAAACCCTCTAAATGACTCCGCCAACCGATCGGATAGCGTCACTACATCTCTAAACCTTCTCCTGACACTAAATTCTGGTCCGCCAAACTCTGGGATGTTTGTTCTCGTTGTAATCAAATAGGTTACATAAGTATTGCTACCCGGCACAATCGAATTCGAGGTTTCTTGCTCCTTAACTGGGTTGGACACAGTGATTTTCAAATATTCCGAGCTCGAAGACGACGATCTGGAGAAACCCTGAGAACTGTCTGAACTTCGGCTGGAACTATCAGCAACGTTGACATCATTACCGTTATTCTCATTGAAAGGGCTAAAAATTGCATCGCCATACGATGGCGGGTCAATGTAAGAATTATCGGGGGCCTTAGGGTTCCCAAATTCGGTATAATGAAGCGGGGATAGCAGAGGATCGGAGTCTTCTGGGGCCACCGCGATCGACTGTGAGAGAGGATGCTGGGTGTCGGAGATTGTTGACATGGCACTACGGTAATTTGAGTACGATTTGCTGCGTAAAGGATCATCGAGGACAAGATTTTCCATTTCTTCCTTGGAAGCATAAAGATGAGCTTCCTCGATGCCCTGATCCTCAGAGTCCATCATTTTTCTGCTTTAACAATGTCAAAGATAAAAGATAAAAATTCGAATTTTGAACGCCGAATCGAAGCTGCAATAACTTCAATCAATAAATTTGTTCGGCAGGGGTGGAGCTCCAACTGAATGATCCCTTGCGTGGCGTTAGGGTTTCAGAGGGAGTACCACTGTTTCACAGCTGCCAGCGACTGAGGCTGAGGTGCGCCGGGACTGACAGGGTTGGCATATGTGGCTGAAGAAGACGAGTAAACGACGAGGACCCGAGAAGCACGAGGCTTCGGAGGCAAAAACTCGGAGAACAGAGGCCTGTTGAATTGGCAGGAGCTGTGGATTAAGCTAAGACTGTGAGTCATGAATCATGGTCGGCTGCATCTAAGAAAGTTTTGTTGTCCTGTGACTTCTTCATTGAGCGTCAATCTCATCCGCAAATTTCGTTAGGCATTAATCGCACGGTCCACGTTGTACTTCTCCAAAATCTCAGTACTAGATTTGTGAGCTTTTTTTTTTTTTTTTTGGCTAATGATTTGTAAGCTGTTAAAATTCGCTCGTCGGCACTGTAAAATACTCAAAACTAGTATCTAGCATTTCAACTAAGCAGTGTAGTTATTTTTTTGTTTATAAAAACGAGAAAAAAAAACGGTAGTAGCTATTTTGTTGGTCAAATAAAAGTCAGTTTTCCTATTTACATGTCAAGGTAAAATCTTTGGAGAATGACAATTAAATTTTAATTAGATTAATTTATTCAACTTAAGTCTTAAATAATTTTAAAATACCAAATAAATCTCTGAATCTTTAAATGATATTTTGATATATTGAGAAGAGTCTAAAACACTTATGATAATTTGGCTGAAAATTTTTAAATTTTATACTTCATTGTGATAAATTTATAATTTATTTTTAACTTTTAAGTTAAAAAATATTTAAATTATTATTATAATCGTTTCAAAAATTTGCAATTTTATTTTAAAATTTTATAATTTTGATTTAAAAAATTTATAATTTATTTTTTAAATTTTAAAGGAAACAATGATGTCGATATTTAAAGTCAAAAAGCAACAAAATCATCATTTTAATAGTCTAAAAATTTGCAAGTATGGCTCCAAATTTTGCAAATTGAAATTATTGAATTTGCAAGCTTGTTTCCATATTGTAAAGGAAAACTCAAATGTTAATATTTAAAGTTAAAAAATAATGTAATAAAGTTATATTTCAATAGCTTTAATGATTTACAAATTTATCTCTTGATTTTATAATTTTGAATTAATGAATTGACAACTCATTTTTGAAATTTTAATTATATAGTTAACTCAAGGATATTTAAGTCAATTCCTCTATAATTCTATTTGCCAGAAAAAACGTTAGGGATTTTGTTAATATTTAAAAATTGAATGGGACTTAAATTAAATTAATTAATCATTGTGATTTAGTTGTCCTTCTCCTAAAATCTTTTGAGGAGTCTCTTAAAATATTGGTTAATTCATGAAGTAATTCAATGATACTAGAGAAAATACTAGCCAAGAATTATTGAGGCAATTTAATATCAATCAAGAATGAAAAAATTATGAAATATCAATGCAATATCATGGGACTAATTTGAAAGTAAATTTAGACAAGAAAATACTATAATACTCTTATTCGTTAAAAAATTTTGTCAATTAGTAAATGATTTATTATTAAATGCAAATAATTTTTTTATAATTAACGAATGGCTATTTATTAAAATATGATCTACACTTGTTCCTTCCCATAGTTAAATTTTTTTCATATTCATAAACTTATTAATTAACAAACAGCTTCTTATAAATGCAAATGTGAATCAGTACTTACAAATTAATGAATTATTACTTGTTGAAATATGATTTATATTTGTCTCTTCTTACAGCCAAGTTTTTTCAGGTTTTTCAGCTTGTCAATTAGCGAACGGATTATTGTTAATTACTAATGGGTACTTATTGATTAATGAGTGGTTACTTGTCAACTAGGGGAAAAAAGCAGGGGTATTATAATTTTTTAATCTAAAATTATGTTTAAATCATTTCCCTAATCATGAAGCAATATCTCATAATCTTTTTATCTTTATTCAATACTTCCTCCATTTAAAAATATAAGGTATTTTTTGAGAAATTGAATATTTAAAAAATGTAAAGCATTTTTAATTTATGAGGTATAATTATTATCTTTTTTTAAAAAAATATTCCTGTAGATGAATGACTTTATATTTATTGTAGGGTGTTTGATAAGGATATATAAAAAAGATTGAGTTTTTAAAAATAAATAATAATTTTTTATTGAGAGGTGAGATTCGATAAAAAATATCTTATATTTTTAATAAAAAATGTATTAAATACTTTCAGTTGTCATTGAGTGATATCTTCCATGATGTTAATTTAAAATCCTTAACTTATGTCATTTTCTTCACCGCTGATTTATTCGTGTCGTGTTTCAGGTTATCGAATCTATATCTATATTATTACAAATTGTAGGCGGGTGTTCATAGGGAAAAATTTACTTGATTAAATTGTAAATTTAATGTGTTTGACTAACTCTTCTTACTAGTGTTTAAAAAAATTAATGCGCAGGTTCTTCTAATTTTTATTAATATTAAATTATATTCCTATAATTTATAATTAAAAAATAAGTACAATAAATATATAAGTTTAATTACATTTTTCTCCCCTCATTTATCTTTGTTGACTATAATATATTTTTTATAATAATTCATAAACTTTAATATTCGCAATCCTTGTTAAAAATAAATTTATTCTAAAAAAAATATTCGCAATCAAAATTTCTGTCAGATCCAACTAAATATTATTGTCAGATTCAAATGAAAAAAAAATAATAAATATACATTTTCAAGTCAAAATGACAAAATAAATAAATGAAGAATTATTGTAAATTGGTTCGGAATATTTGAGGGAACAGAAAAACTCATATTCTGCCTTATCAAGTTTTTTAAAATTAATGTTATTTCTGAAATATCTATAATGTCATATTTAAAATAAAATATTGATCTCGGACTTAAATCTAACTATGTCGATATTTACTGTTGGTATTCCTATGTTTCTTTGCGTTCCGGCTTTTTCTCTCCTCACTTCATTTTGTTCTGTTATGATTTTTCTTTCGTTTCAAGGCCCAGCTGTGTCTTTCTGGATAGGAATGTTTAATTTGCATTCATTATCCCATTTTTTTTATTATATCAAGATGGATCTCATCCCGAATTCAAAGATAATCAGGGTGGACGGGACGGGATATAAAATTATCCTTAAAACATCTTATTCCGTCCCAAATATTATATAGATATATATTATTTTTAAAAAAGTATACATTAAATATATTAATTATATTACCATAATTTATACTTATATTAATTATTAATTTAGTACTTGCTATTTTTATTTGAAACTAAAAGGTTTTTATATCGATAATTTTAATGATATAGAGTAAGCAATATACGTTAATGTTTTTCTTTACAATATATTAGTTATATTAATATAATTTATTCTTATGTCTACTTATTTAATAACTTTTGTTTGTATCATGTTTCTTACTTTATTTTAAAAAAATTGTTAGCTTAACATATTAACTGAACTGACTTGACGTTACGTCAAGCTTGTATGTTATGATTGTCCTTATAATCTATAAATTGCTTGTAATTATCATTATAACGTGTCATGTCTTATGTATAATTGACTTTAAATTGTAAATTTATCGTTATGATTAATGTAATTCAATAATTATTGTATTTATGACTTCTATTATTTTGATTTTAAAATTAATAAGTTATGTGATTTATATTTTTTATTAATAAATATTATTATTTAATTTTTTATATTATTTGTTTTATCGAGACGGTGGGATGTATTAATTTTCCCCATTTCAATTCCTAACGAGATGAAATAGGAGACAAAAATTCAGTGAATTTTCAGGGTGACATAAGATGTCTTGATCCCATCTCATAAATACCTCCATTTCTGGCCATTTTTATGCTAGCCTTTTCATTTAAAAAATAAAACCAAATTGCCTTTTTAATAAAAAAAATTAAATATATCACTGACACAAAAAAAATGTTCGAGATTTTGGACTTGATAAATTTGTTGGATTCACAGGGCTTGTATCCAGTGAATTCGTGCACCCGAATTCACGAGGCCGCGCCTTCATGCTTGCCTCATGCAAGCATCTTATATTCTACACATTAATGATAAATAACAAATATCGAAATCACTACTATATTAATACGAAACATAAAAGCTAAAGTGTTTTCAACGATTCTAAGTCATAAATAAGTCAGCTGAATACTCTGACAAACACAGTGAGTTTGGGAATGTGACTTGTATTAACACAAATATTATGTACACCCCTAAATTCTATCAAAGCCGCAGATTTTCCTGAACAATGTTGTTGAAATCCGTTTACCCTCTAAGGATTTGCTGCTGTATCACTAGAACAGAAGCAGAACTACTAAAATCTACGGACGCAACATAGTCTCCTATCACTCCTAAATCTTCATTCTCACTCCAATTAGATAACCCACTCACAATCACTGGGTTCATCCCGTGTCTCCTCCCCACAATCCACAGATCATAACTTCCATCGTTCATCCCCTGAACCGCTCCCACCGTCTGCTCCCCGTCCTCCACCACCACCTCCCTGTACTCCACATTTTCGTTCCGTTCATTCTTCACCCAAAACCACGTCATCGTTCCGTCGTCCAACTTCTTCTCCGTCTCCGTCTCCCCTTCGTGGTTAAATGCCAGAAACCTCACCACCGTCACCCTTAAGTCTTCGTTGCCCGCCACCATTCGATCCACGTAGACCAAAGCCTCTCTGCAATCCGCCCCTCCGAGAAACAACACCGCCAGCTTGAATCCTGACCTGCCAAACGAACCGTTAACACTGTTATGTCCTCTGATGAGGCTCCCGAGATTCTCACTCTTGTCGACCAGAATCCCGACGGAGCAAGGAGCATGAGTTAAAACATGGGATATCACGGCTCTTAATCCATCCCCCGATACTATAGCTCCTTCGAGGTTATGAGTGATAGCTCCCCGAGGAAGGGATAAGACGATCAGAGTGGCTTTGTTATCTAAGGCTACCTCACATATATCTTGGTACATGGTTTGCTTGCTTGTGATGGCTGTGAAGAAACGAAGCTTCACAGAGTCGAAGCCTCGGACGCTTTGAAAGTGCGTGAGGGCGTTGATGGTTTGGATGCATTTGTACTTAGGAGGGACTTGTTGTCTGTCGTGGTCGAAAAAAATGGGGTTAGTTCGGCCTAAGAGCTCGATGAGGTGGAGGGCTAAGATGGAGGTTGGATTGCCTGAAGTGGGAGCAGAAAGCTCGAGGAGGTTGATGATGCCACCAATGCTTTCTCTATCGAGGATGGATAGGACGATGACAAGGTCTGTGTTGGGAGGGGTATGTTGGATGGTTCTCCTTTTGTTCACCATATACGGCTTTGAGGGATCGTAGAGGATCATGATCACAGGAGTGAATATTGCAGTTACTGCTATTGTCATTAGTACCAATATCGTGTATCCTGGCGGCTTTATCATCTGCGCATGCATCAATGTAGACACAATCAATTAAAACCTATCGTTTTTTTTACCACTTATACGTATATATCACGAACATATATACTAAGACTCTGACATAAAGAAGCATATAACATATATCAACATTGTGTCGGCAGATGAGCTTATTACCTTTTTGTCCAGCCAATGCATAAACATGATAAGTTCAATCTGGCCTCTTAAGCTCAAGAGGAGACTGAGAGGTAGTCCATCTCTGAAAGGCATTCGCCAATAGATAGTGGTAAACCAAGTAGAGAAAAACTTGGTCAAATACGCGGTTAAAGCCATGCAGAACAACGGATGCAAATAGGACCAGTCAGCAGCAATCATGGCATAAACATCAGTGTTATATCCTATCAAAAGGAACGAGAATGGCATAAAAAACTCAGTCATAAGCGTCTCAGTCTTCTCCAAAATCGTTGTTCCCAGAGGAGGATTAGCCGGAATCACCAGCCCTAGCCATAACGCCCCGGCTCCGATGGATAAGCCCACCAAGTCAGTCATGAACGACGCCATAAAAATCCCCAACAGAATGAAAGTCACGTAAGTCGATTTCACTGCTTCCCCTTCTGGGGTTGTGTCACATATCCACACCATAGCTCTTCTAATAAATACGAAAAAAATAACCACATAAATTACTAGGGAGATCAAGTACCACAAAGTATGCATAGCTCCTGTATCTCCTTGTTTTCCGGCTTCAAACACCACTGCGATAATTATACCCACAAGGTCACCAATTAGACCGGTCGATATAGATGTTCGACCCACTTCGGAGCTTAGAAGGTTGTTCTCTTTGAGGACGATGAATAGCAAAGGACACGACGAGAGTCCCATGTACATGGAAATGCCCCCAAGTGAAGTTATCTTGGCGAGCTCTGTGTCCATGTTCTTTCTCATGATCATTGCCACAGAAAAAGCCGCTATCGAGGGAATGAGTATACTCATCAAAGCTATAGAAATATGCTTTTTCCCAGACTTTTTAATCAGGGTGGTGTCCATCTTCACACCATATACGAAAAGAAAGAACATGAAGCCCATTATCCCAATATTGCTGACCACAAACTCGGCATTTCCCGCGGGGACTATATTCTTTGAGAACCATGTTTTGTGTCTCAGAACTGAGGGTCCCAACAAGATGCCGGCCTTAAAAATATGACAAGTTTTTAATCAAGTATATACACAAGAGATATATATAAAAATATGCAGGAGATAATGAGGATTAGAAGCTTACGTACGATAATCTCGGAGATGATCTTAGGCTGTTTGAGAGGCTTGAGGAGGAAACGAATGAGGCGGGTGAGGATGACGACGACAAAGAACTCGAAGAGTATGAAAGGGAAGGTGTAGGTCAAAGGGTTTTCTCCAAAGAAGATGCCATTAGTTCGACCCTCGGAGACATGACGGCAAATGATGGGAAGCACGGCGGTTTCGTTTATTTGAATATGGCTGGAAATGGACAAATGATGATGATGAGGAGGAGGTGGATGAAGGCGCCACCGCCATTCGTCAAGTGCTTGCGACGGAGGAGGCCGAGGCAAACGGGGTGGGTAAAACCTAGCCATGCATGAGGATTTCACAGGGAGGTGATGGACTTGAGAGAGAGAGAGAGAGAGAGAGAGATGCTATAAAGCAATGCGGTTTAACGTCAAAGTGGGTCTTCGTGGGAGGTGAAATGGGTCTCTGTCAACATTCCTGTGGTTCACCATTTTTCTTTTGTTGTGAGGTGAACATTACACTGAGCATTTCTAATTTTGTTTACACAAATCATTTCACTTGCTATTGTATCTATTTTGTGTTGGTCTGGAAACGGATGGCGATGTTAAAGTTGGGCAATGAAAATTTACGGTCGTGACACAACATAAAAGATGTTAGATATATATATATATATATAGAGTTACAGATATTAGAAAATGACATGTAAATTTATTTCTAATTTGGAGCGTCATTTGGTTTGTTTGTTCTAATACGTACATGTCTCCGCTTGTTGTGAGGATTGTTCGTTCTCTTTTTTGTTGATTTTTATCTTCCCGTAGATCTCGTAGACTTCGTTTATTTCAGTTCATCAACTTCTATTTCGTTTCTCTCTTCCCTTTACCCTTCTTCCTCTTCCCGTCCCCTTCGTTATCCCAGTTCAACTTCACATCCCACATGTCCTGATCGAACCTGTAAACCTTCCCTTTGTCGGGTAGGCATTTGTGCCACTGTAACAACGTGCGACTGGCTCTGGTCCATAATCTTACATCTCTTTTAAAAAAAAAAAAAAAAGGCGCTGCGAAAGGCAAGTTTTGTTGGTAATGAAGTAGCAGCGATTGTTGGTTGAGCATGAACACGATGATGGGTGAGAACAGGGACGAAGGGCTTGAAGGCCCACATAAGAATGAGAGCCCATGAAGATTCTATCAAAACTGTAGGTCCGAAATGAACAGAAGAACCCACAGATAGACATAGAAAATCCAGAGAAGTAGGCCCGAGGGGGTGGGCCCATGAAGAATGAATAAAAATCAGACAGACACAGGGAATTCAATGTAGTGCAGCTGAACTTTAGCCGCCAGGTGTCAGGAATACAGAATTAACACCACAGTCCCACCACCTGCTTCTCCCTAGCTGACTCTTTTATTCTCCATTATTGTTTTATCAAACCATCATTCTTATTCTTCACCAAACTCCATCAATCTCTGATGCCATTAAAAGTTAAAGCAATCCAAAATATAAAATGATTCTGATATATGGTGGAGTGAAAGAGAAGAAGTAATGCGACTGCAAAGCCAATTTCTTGTATATGGTATATTTTTGTGATGGTCCAACTTTCGGGCCGAATTAGAGTAATCACCAAAAATCTCGCTTGCATCGATAATGGACAATGAGAAAGAATGAGTTACTCTGTGTGTGTGTGTGTTTTGAATTATCATCTTTGCCCAGATATATTTAATAATATATAATTCTTAATGCAAATAACATGGGTGGTGAATGCATACAATATAATATATATATATAGAGAGAGAGAGAGAGAGAGTAGACCATAATTCAAAAGCTTAACCCAGAACCAAAAAGGATTTGGGGTTAAGAGCTTCATTCTCTCTTTTTGGTTAATTGGTCTAACACAGTTTGAGCCAGTTGACGGTAGAAATCAATTTAATTCAGACCAGTATAATCATTTTGGTCTGCCATTCTCACTGCTGTTGCAATGCCCTAATTAATTCCTGCACCGGGCTGCTGTGTGTGTGTGTAAGGATATTAAATGTACTCTTTATTTAACAGCTAGCTGAACTATTTATGAAATCGACGTTTCTAAAAGCTATTTAGTTTAAGGAAAAGGGAGAGAGGTGAGGGGAGAGGAGAGGAGATGAGGGAAGGGGAGGGGGCTCCCCCCCAATTTGGGGGGAGGTTTTGGAGGGGAGGGGCCTCCTCCCCAACCAAACATACTCTAAACAAAGAGCAATTGCATTGTACATCAGTTATACTTTACGATGTCCATCACACGAAAGCAAAGGTTGAGTTCATTGTGAAATTAAAGTACACCATGTCCTGAACAATTCAAATTAGGGGCAAACACAGTACTGTGCTGGTTATTCCGGTAGAGCAACAGCACAACCGAGTCCTTTAAAGATAAAAAAATCTGTGCAAATATTTTGCTTTATTCCATTAAAGATATGCAATAATTAACAGTAGAAGCTTGGAGATCTAATACAGTACAGTTGGTTGCTTTGTCTCCATACAGCATAGCACATCCTGTGCCCTAAAGTTGATTCAAACTCCTAAATCTTTGAAACGAGGCCTCAATATTATATTGCCATCCGGCCTCTCATAATGGCCAACCATATCATTTCCACTGCATCTTTAACAGGAAATGGGTAAGTATCATGAAGAGAAAAAGGAAAGGAAGCAAAAGAACAAAGGGAAAAGGGATTGAATTTTGCCAACTCAGGATCATCACTACAACACTGCAGTAAGTGGAATTTTTTTTGGCCCATTTGACATTTAATTACATGTCGCATGTGGTCATTAATTAAAAAAAGAAAGAGAAAACGATATTTAAAGCCTCTCAAGAAAAATTATAGCAGCTAACCTGTTTTATTTTTGAAGAAAATTTAATAAAAATTACAAGTTATGGCCTAATTTAATAAAAAATTACAAGTTATGGCCTAAATTTTAAAGATCTTAATTATAAATTACTATCAACATGATTCACAAAATTTAATAAATTTTTAACTTTATTTTTATTAAACATATATATTTTTTAATAAGTTAATCTTTTTTCCTCTTTTCAATATTCAGAGGATAAAAAAATTCATGTTGAATATTTAATGAGTTCGTCTATAAATAGAGTTCAAAAAAAAAAAAATCTTCTACATTTATACCATGATACACGCTACAGTATTACTTATAAAACACCTTTTAAATATAATTTTTTATAAATATAATTTTTAATTCAAAATATAAAATATTTTATAGCAATTAAACCACATTTTTAATTCTCTTTTCATTTAAATTTTTTTATAATTTTAAAAAATAACTATTATTAAAATGCATAAACCAGTTAAAAATGTCCTGATCGGAGTGCTTTAGATGCTACTCCCCTTCCAAAAAAACAATGCCATACATATAGATAAACTTGTGAAGGTGTGGGAGCATGTGAAAAGGAGAGGGGGAACTTAATTAGGTGTTCTCTTACATAAACATTGCTTTTAATGGGAATTTAATGATGAAGATTACGAGGTAAGTAAATAATAAGAGATGAAAACGACGACACATGTAAGCTGATCCAAGTTGGAAACGAGTCAACATCCACAGTTACAAACCCACCATCAAAACTGATGAAAAAGGCCTGCAAAAGTTGCAGTCAAACAAAACGGAGAAACCCTAGCTCACGGGGTACAGTTTTAACTCAAACATAGCTTCCTTGTCGCTGCAGGAAAACACTTAGGGTTTTGCTTTTCAGATCGAGCTCAGAAAGGGAAAAAGGGCTGTTACATAGGGTCCTGTTTGGATCAGACTTCAGACTCCCCATTAAAAAGCTAACTAACTCGTCAATATGATTCTCAGGAAACATGATTAAAATACAAACAACATACTTTTAGACCTGTCAGTGACTTATGAAAACTCGCATCTTTTGTTCGTGTTAGTCAACCAACTGGTCAAAGCATCAGACCCACAATAATACAAGCTTCGCAAATCAAAACATGCATGGCGAGCTCAGTAGTACAGCTCGCCGTCCTTCTGGATAGGGTGATGGCTGCTTGAGCTCCCTGAAGAATCTTCAAAAGTGAATCTTGTGACCTGAGAAATCCTAGCTAGGGCAACCGAATAAAAAGCCTCGGAAATTCAACATACGGCAACTGAGACCAATTTTATAAGCCAAAAAAATACAAAAGCACAGCTTCTAAATCCTTCATTTTACAACTTTGAACTCTATTATTAAATTTCGTTAAACAATCTCTATTTGTTTTCTTTTTAAAAGGCTAGAGGAAACTAAAGTGCAGGGGGGGAAAAACATAGGAACCTAAAACGATAGAAAAAAGGCAGAAACCTACTGAGGCAAAGTACAGGACCTAAAATTATGTTTTATAAAAAAAAAATCAAATTTTCGGCTGAGTTCAATTATTTGAAGGTTTGTCTTGATGGAAGTAACTGATAAGAAATGGGGCAAAAAAAATCCCCACCGAGATATAGAACATGAGCTCGAGAGCATGAAAAAAGTATATGGCAAAAGCTTTGTCTTTGAAAGCGAGTGTACCTGTATCCGTTAAAGGGGAGTACGGTAAAGGCGTTAAAATTCCTCCCCTCGTTTTACCCCTTGCTCTGTTGAACCAAACAAGAAGAGAAATGGTCGCTACAAGCACCGGTTGAACAGGCTCCACAGTAACAAGACAGAAAAAACTGATACGATAAAGTGACTGAAAACCGTTCACCTTTGTTTTTCAACACAAACCACGCCAAGAAAAATGCCAAATCAAACGAAAACATATGAGAAACACTGTTCATCGACACAAACTATCAAGTCAAAGAAGGTCAATTGATGAAAGAAAGAAAACATACAGGAAGGATCTTAGCTACCCAAAAAAAAATTACTAAACCGTCTTCACATATAGGGTGCCAAGTTCTGAGATAATGCACCTGATGAGAATATATGCAGTGAGAAGAAGCCGTGAAACTCAGGATAGATAGCGCCAAGTACACAGCAGTGAGAAGGATGTTGAATGTCACGGCGCTATCCCTCCTGAGCTTTACAGATTCTCCTTACTCTGATCTGCTCCGGAAGATCATAAAGAGAGACGAGAGAAGAACAAGAGAGGAGGAGGAAGAGGAGAGGATCAGATGGTGAGGAAGGGAAGGGAAGGGGGAAGGGTATTTATAGGAAGAGAAGGTACGTGTGGGAGTTGAGGAATTGACTAATGTATTTCAAAATTTCTGCGCCATGAAAGCAGCAAGCAGCTTAATTAGACTGGGGAAATGTGAGAGGTAGCTAGTTTAGTGTTGATGCCCCTGCTTTATTTTATTTGAGAGTGTGGGTGTGTTACACTGTCAATGTAGGGACGGCCTTCTGTTTTTGTGTTGGATTTCGCTTTTTACTGGAATATT